AAATTGAAGTAGTCAACAAAACAAAAGTAGTTAAAATTTCTTTGTTCTGAGTGATCAAATTTCAATCCGAATCTTCAATACGTAATCGAATACAAGCTTTTTCAGAAATTTATTACTAGTAAAGCCAAATAATACTTATTTTGAGTAATACAATCATTCATAAGAGCTGTTCACCACAGCGCTTTCATTACTTAAAATAAGTATTATTTTGGCCTTACAAAATTAGTAATAAATTTCTGGAAGAGGCTTTACACGTAACTATACATTTGGAATATATATGTTATATCTAATGTTTTATACCTGAAATATATCTGTTATGTAGCATAATGACACGATTACAGATCATAAATATAATACTTAAAATACAGAGATACATATCTTTGATATATCAGAGAAATGCTTTTGTTGCTGACATTCAGCTGTACATGTAACATACATGTACGTTAGTTACTATATAACAGGTATTTACTGTTATGAATCTAAACTATATATGTTACATCGCCGTGTTTGCTGGGGAGTAAGCTCTGGATAAAGGTTTGTTATTACATAATGGAGAGAATAATATTCTTTCACACTAATGTAATTCGCACGCCAAGCCTTTAAGCACTCATTTAGTTTATTCTCAATGCTCCTTGCCGGATTCTTCTTGGTAACTCTAGTGTACGTGTCGGTGTCGTCTACTATAAGTTCTATTTTTTTAACATAATTGTTTTTATTTAATGCAATGGTGACATTGCCTTTATCTGCTTTTGTAAAAATTATAGATAGATGTGCTTTAATAAATGTTTTAGTGCAATTTGCTTTTTCAATTAAATCTTTTTCAAGATTATTTAAATGGGGATCTCTGTTAATAAAACGTTCTATCGATGTAGCAGTAAGTAGTTTTAGACAAGACTTCTTATCTTGATCAAGATGTTTAAGATTGTTTTCAACATCTTTAATAATCTCAAAGGACATTTGCTTCTTCAAGCGTTGCGGAGGTATAAACTAAATTTTTCTCTTAATGAAAAATCATCTGTCCGTGGACTCAGAAAAAAAAAGCTGTAAGGTCATTTTCTCAATTTGTTTAATCAAATTAAATTGGTTCAGTCAATCTAGAGATCTAAAATATTACACCTCAAAAGGCAAGAATCTGTCACAAAGATTCTTAAAATTCAGTCTTACACAGAACTGCACACACACACACAAAACGCGAGCGTTACGCAAGCCCCGCTAGTAATCCCACACGCGTTCAAGTCAGACATATTCAGCGCGTTCATATATTGGCATTTGCATATGTATATTATGAATAAATAATTTTTAATATTTTGTTTTTATTTTTATTATTTTTAATA